ACTTTTAATGGGTTGTATCTTTGCATAGATAGGGAAGCTGAAGAGAATATCAGTATCTAAATGAAACTTGGATCCCCCTTTAACATAAGGTCTTTAAAGCCTCAATCTACTTATATGCTACATGCTGCCTAGAACTCCTATTTGGGGAGAGAGACCAGAGGACTGATTACTTCCTCGCTGTATGTTTTGTGCATACTCATACTAAGATTCTCTACAGTGAAGTATAATAAGAGCTACCCTTTCATTCTTTATTCCTGGTGTGGCCCAACACCAAACTACACTGGCCTTATTTTAATGAGTAGTTGAAGGGCAGGGAGAAGTGTGCTATTTACAGCCGTCAGGATAGTTCGAATACGTTGTGGAGCTCTGCATTGGATGCAGTGGTGGGAACAAAAGAACTGGCGACAAAACTGATGCCAAACTATTTGGAGAGTAGACCTGGGAGATATATTTATCTACAATAGCAATGATTTAAATAGTTTCAGCTCTTCTTCACTGGACAGCATAATAGCTCTGCAAAGTAGTCTTTCACTTTTAAGTGGGAAGCACTTTTGAAGAACACACGGAGACTGTTTTGAGTTTTGTGGAGAAGCAAGGCTTTTGTGACGACTGAGTGCATGAGGCACAGAGAATTCAAGTGTTTCAAGCAATGATGTTTCATGCTGCCTGCCGTCATTTGGGAGATGGACAAGCAGAAGAGTTTTGATTCTCTTGAATAGGGAATCGAGGGTCTAATGTTAAGGTCTCAGCCTGTTGCACAGAGACAAAATATTGCATGTGGACCAATCTGAAATGAAGCAGGAGGTGGGAGCTAAAGTATGTGAGCAAGGTTGAAGTTTTTAGCTCCTAGCTCCTGTTGACTGGCATAGAAGTAAAATAGTGTTGGTGAGATGATTAAGAACACTTTATCTCAAGGAACAACAATTTTTTTTAATGACTGCAAAGTTTCCAACAACATATATAAAATAAGAAAAAAATAATGCGTTAGCAAATGTTGCTTGGAAGTTTGCTGGCCTCAGGTGTGAGTAGAGCTGCTAGAACAGAGCTGCAGGAGTTCACTATGCCAACTGGCAAGCCAGTGAAATCCTAGACAGGGATAACTTGTGCCCATCACTGGATACTGTGTGTTTACTTCCTTCAGGTGATAAGTACAGGTGATACCAGTAATCCAGGCACTGCAAGCACCTGCAATAAGGTATATCAATTCTGAACACAGGAGGGGGAAAAAAGTTTACTCTGACTTGTGTCTGGTATAAATTGGTTAAGCTTCATTTTTCAAGAAGCAGTCCATTTTGTAATTGGCTCTTCTACAGTTATGGAACTTTTCTGGATTTGGGAAGGGGACACAGATCTATGCAAGCTATAGTTCTTTCCTCAGAGTAGAAACCAGCCCTGACTTTGCATATGGTTACCTGGAGGTGACAGAGAAGGAAGAGGTAAAGGCAGCCTATCTGGAAAATACAATAGAAGAACAGTGGTCAACTTCATGCTGTCTTGAGCCCAGCATGCTGTGGGAGGATGAAAAAGCTTTTCCAAGCTCCTTCAACACTTGAGGCAGGAGACATGGAGGACCATATCCCAGTAGAAGCAGAGTGCGGAGCAGGCAATAGCTCGTTTGATTGCCTCGTACGTAGTCAGTGCAGCCAGCATTGTAGATGCCTCATGCGGAACATAACTGTTGGCCTTTCTTGAGTCTTCCTGCCTCACTTCAGGGACTGTCTCTAAGCTTTTTTTTTTTTTAAATCTGCAATAGTTATTCATGAACATCAGTGGCATTTAGACTCGTTGCTTTTTCATCATCTTCTCTGCCTCCCCCTCTGCAGTGAATCACAGAAGGACTGTTTTTCTTAGTCATTAACTGTAGGTGTTAGCACACCCTAGCGCAGGCAGCTCAGGAGGAAAATTTAGCAGACAGCTGTCTGGCAGTTTGGAATCAAATCAGAAGTACTTTTGAGGATTTGAATAAAAAAAGTGATTCTTTGTAAACAAAAAGAATATATTGAGCAACTGCAAGATTCTTTTTCAACAAATACGAAGTACAGTTAGTTGGATTTATACGTTATTAGAAGGGGAGGTGGTTATGACTTGGCCATACCTCACAGTGAAATATTGTGACTTTTTTTTTTTCCTTTGTGATACCCCATGTTTGATATTAATCTCAGAGATGCTCTTTGGTATTGGGCTTTTGAGCTGTAAAACTCCATTTTGGCCTCTGACTTGCCTTTGGCTCGTCTGTTCATGGAGAGTTATTCTGAAATAAGTTTTGTGCTTTAAATTCACATTTTAACCTTAGTTCAGATTAACTTTAAGTGCAGGTACAAAAGCCTTTAAGATCAAAGTTACCACTCTTCTCAAGAAAAGTTAGTAGATTAATAATATAATAAAAGTAGGAGTTTATGTACCTGAGGCCAGTCCCAACTCCATATGTGCTTGTAAGAACTGTCACAATATTGATGAGTGGGACAGAGGACAGATTCTGTACTGGTCTTATCTTCTTTGATCTGCTAGATCAAGCATTTTTAATACTTCTCCAGCTTTCTGAAGGATTGCAACAAACACTTAAAAGATGATCTAATTATTTTTTAAAGTGGAAAATCCAAGAAATCAGAAGAAAAAAACTCCAAACATTGAACTGTCCCATAAAGACTTAGCCTTATTGCATATCACTTGCTTTTCTATTTCATGCTTTCCTATGTCATTTTTATATTTACTATATGGTAATTCTCAGACTTAAGGATGCAGGAGCAAATACTAACCTGTTCATGAAGAATGTGGAAAATGCCTGGTTTCATAAACCAAGGAGCTTATCTCATATTCTTATGCTGATACAAAGAGTTAAATCAGTCACCAGCATTGGTTGGCAGGAAGTACAATTAACTTTATAGAATAAGCTTCGCTCTTGCCATAATCTTGCTTAATGTAACAATGCAAACATTGAGATATTTTGAGACCCTGCCCTTGGGCACTTGAGGTGAGAGGGAAATATTAGCAGAAAAAAAGACCTTCTGGATGAGGCTTTCCTTTTACCTGGGCTTTTGGGTAAGCCCCAAAACTATCATGGTGATACGCTGAGTGTCCAAAACTGGCAGGGAAGTTTAGAGAGCGGTGTTATGTAGGGGGAATGCTGGCCTCAGGTGAGAGAACATGCATGTTGGCTTTTTGCTTCTTCCTTGCTATGATTTATTGGGTACCTATGAATAAGCTGGTTAGAGGGTTTAAAAACTGATCACTGGCTTCCAAAATTGCCTGGAATACTGAAAAATACCCACCTAGTTGGATTAGCTGAAGAAGTATGGCTGATAATGGTATTGTAAGATAAACATCTAGTTTAAAAACAGAGAACTGAGAGACCTAACCATGTGAGAAGTGTCCCAGTGTATGCAAAAAATGGATCAGAGATCCATCTGGCTCAGGTATTACTTAATTCTGGAAATCTTAATGTTGCAAACAGGAATAATGTTTTCTGTTTCTCCCATTCACAGATTAAAGTACAATGTAAAATGGAAACATTATTTTCATGCCTCTGAGGTAATGGGAATAAATAATTAATTCAAGGCTATGATAATTACCATTCAGCTATAAAGAGCAAAGGAAAACAGAGAAGCAGAGTGGCTGGGTGAAATTGCAGGTGTGTCAGAACTGACAGTGAAAAATCACCTGGGAAGCTAATAAGGTGAGTAATATTTTTGTGTTCTGTGGAGATTTCTGTTTTCCTGTGGTTGACGTGTATTCTAACCAGTCACATAACAGGAGTTCGGTCAGTGGAACGGCACAGAAAGGCTGACCTGTTACTAACCATGGTGATTGCTACAAGAAGGTGTTTTGCAAGCAAGCTAATAGCTAATGCTCTTTGATGTGGGCCTCAGTAGTCCTCCTCCTGCTGTGGTGCTGAAAACAGTCACTTAAATTCTGGTACTGCTTTACAAGGAAAACGTGCTGAAAGCCATTTGTAACAATAGTTATGCTTCTAGTGCTTGAACAGAGGCCAGAATAAAGTTGGATTAAAGAGCATTTCGCCCTTGAGTTAAATGGCACTTTGCAAAACGCTTACCCAGTTTGTATGTGCAAACATGGGATTTCAAGGCTCTCATCGCAGCAGTAAGGCTGGATCAAAGGTCAAGGTGCAAAAAGTTTTTTTGGGTACAAGAGCTGGAGAGTAGAATGTGAAGAATGATGAAATTGGACCAGATATAGGTAAAATTTGTTTATGAATTTTATAGCTATAGAAATGCGCTTTTTTTTGTTTATTTTTTTAATTTTAATTTTCTGGCAGGTAAAATTTTGAGGATACCTAAAATTCTGTAACTAATGCTGCCAAATACAATTATTGAAATTCATAGACCTGGCCATTGTCACGAATTCTATAACTAATTAACTGAAATGCAGCTATGGTAGATATGAATCTCGGGTGAGGAGAAAGTCTATGCCTTCCCTTTTTACCTTTGGTAATCGTTTTATGTACTTTCTATATGCTAATGAGCAACTCTCTCCAAATCATTGCGTTTATTATTCATACAAGTAACAGTCTTTAAAGGTGAAATTCTAGATCAAAATGGACAATCTTGTAGTCCTGTTCACATCAAAACCATATGCAAGCTGGTTTACTTTACTAAATCTTAATTTTGTTTTCTGTACTTCTTAAATTGATGGAGGAAAGACTGGCGCAGTATGTAAGTGACACCCAATAATATGTCTGAGAACAAATACTCTTACTGCTAGAATAGCTTTACATGCAAGCCAAATAATTACCTCCATTTGAAGAGAAAAATAATTTGAGAGGCTGTAGTCCTGATTTGTCTACTGCTTAGTTGAAAAGATTGTTGAATGTGTGCTGCTGTGGCCTAAATTCTTGGATACTAAGAAATCCAAACTTGCTTTAGAGGAAGCTTTTGTGATTGGTGAAGACATTATGAGGGCACACTTGGCAGTGAGTTAACGGGCTGAATAAGAAAATACAACTGCAACCAAATGTTCCATTTCTCTCTTCTTGCCTGTTTCAGATGTCATCTCTACCAAGGAGAGTGAAATCTGAAGCCAAAGCCCTTATATCAGAAGATGATGAGCTTCCTTCATTTCTAAATTCGTAAGATTACTCTTTTCTTTAGGATTTTTTTAAAGGTTTAAGCTATGCATGAGCAATTGCTTAAGAGCAACACTCAGTTTCTGAGAGGTTGATTAACAAGCTTTAATGCACAAAAACGTCAATTATAAAACAGAAATTACCTATGCTGCTTAATGCTCACAGTGAAGACAAGGTGAAACTGAATTGCCAGTTGTCCAAACAGAATCAGTTGTGTACACATCCCAGTGACCAGGTTCAGGAAAGCTTGGTAAAGCATTCCAGCCATTAGCTCTGCAACAGCATGAAAGACCTGTATTTGTTGAGTCTGCCTACCTTTCTGTTCATTTTTCCTGTTTGCTTCCTTTCATGTCAGAAAACACCGACTGGCTTGCTTATGTGGTTTTTTTATTCTTCTCACAAGCAATATTGTTCACTCGTTTGTTTTTCAGGAGCTCTGAATCAGAGGAGGAAGAGGAGGAGTGGGAGCCAAAAAGCAAAATCGCCAAGAGACCTCGGTTGCCAAAGAAAAATGAGGCAAAAACTAAAAAAGTTGCTGCTCCACGGTCAGCTGTGGCCAGGAAAAAGGTCAAGAAGGTAGCAATAAAAGAGGAAATAGTGAGTATCTGTAAGGAAGAGACACTTAATTACTGTGGCAAGTAACACAAGCAGAATTTTTCCAACTCTGGTTCACTTGGTTGCCTGAGTCTGATCAGCTCATCTGATTCCACTGTTACTGGGAATATTCAGTGTGTTTGATAAATGTGGCCTTCTTATTTATTTAAGTGTCCCAGGTCTGAGGGCCCTTCTTTGAAATTTTGGCCGATGATAATGGGACATGGTTTTTCCTGGAGATCTCTGTCAACAGCAAAAATAAATACCTCTGTTCTTCTTTCTGTAATGAAAACTAAATGCTCTAATATCTCTGGTTTCTGTGTTGTACCTTTGATGTCTTCTACCTTTTCACCAGCTGGGTACCACAACAAAAAGAAGGTCTGTACTTAATGTTTCCTTGCATGGCTGTTGGACCTAGTAAGGATCACAGTTTTATTATGATTATAAGATGCACTTCTGTCAGAAGTTAGTTACTTCTGTCAAAGATTAACATCAGAAGTCAGGTCATGACATAGACCCGTCCTGGTTTACACTAATGTTTTTGAATGTTTTGGCATACGTGGGCATATTGAGAAATGCATTCTTGGACTCTGAAGATGATCTCTGGGGAAATTCAGGAAAGATGATGTCGCTTGTCCAAGGTTAAACAATATCTTAGCAGACCAAATCTCAGTTCCAGTTCCTGTGCTGCACCAAACTCCTCATGAGAAGAGTGCTTACCTGCCTTGCTGTTCCCTGTTTTGGTGAGATCAGCGGAGGCAAGGGTTGTAGGTCAGTGTCTTCTGAAGGAGAGCCCAATTCAAGTTTTTCTGGGATAATTTTATTCAATCTTTTAAATCACAGTTCTGCTGTGTATGTTTGTATCTTTTCCTCCATGCAAGATATATTTCAGGTTACTTGATTTCTGACTCGGCGTTTCCCTGCCAGACAGAGACATCACTTGGGAAAATGATGTCTGATATTGAGTCTTCCTAGGTTTTAATTGAAATGTTGAACCAGTTTGTAACAGTCAATGCTGAACATGGTTTCAATGCCTTTTTGACAGGATGTATCCTTGCCTATTACTCCTGCAGAAGATAATAAAATGCAGCTTCTAAAATCTAAGGAAGAAGATGTAGGCACTAAACCAAAAACTTTAAATCAAAAGCCAGAAGTGACTAAAAAAATGGAAATAAATTCATTCCAAGGAAAGAACATCAGGAGTTTAGAGAGTGATGAAAAACCCTCAACAAGCGTTCCTGTAGTGGGAAATCAAGTGAAACATGAGAAATCTGAGGAGGATTTTGCATTTGATGAACCACCTTTTAAAAAGATTAAGTCGACTACATGTCCTGAAGGAAAGCCAGTTAAAAATCTAGGAGGCAACAGAATAAAAGAAGAATTTGAAATGAACTGGGATATTGTACAGGTATGAGATCTTTTCCTTTTCTGACCTATCAATGAAACCATTTCCTATGTAATTAGCACTTAAAATCTTTAACATACAATTTCAGTCCTCTTGGCATCAGTTGAGGTGTCAGAGAGTCATTGTGCTGTTAAGTAGTCATTTCACCTCTGCTTAAATTGTCATAATGCATGTATAAATATAAATGTTGGCTGATAACTGTTAAAACTTCGAACTTTAATGTTATTCTAATATTCGTGACTTAGGCAGCTCTTAGTACAAAGCTTGCCTGTAACAGTGCGTGTTTCCTCTGTATCAATACATGGGTGTTTTTGTGAATATGGTCAATTGAAACTCCTGCAGGAATGGATGCTGAAAGATTTGGGAAGTCTGGGTGCACAGTTTCAAAACTTAACATTTATTTAGTGTGGATCATTTTGTTGTAGAAACTCATTTAAGAGTTTATCAATTTACAGTACATGAAGGAGGAGACTGCATTTTTGGAACAAGTGACATCAAGGGAGATATCATCTTTGTTTTTGTAGGATGTTAACTCTGAAGCTATTCAGATGAAGGCAGGTTTAGGATAGCTCCTGTTCGGGGAGGCGGAGTATGGTTATGGACAATTTTAATATGAAAAGAATGGGAATAGATTGGATACGTCCTATTAATCATCCTTAGTGGTGCCTGCTTCAGAAAGGTATAAAACTTTGTTCCTGAGTCTTCTGAAATATTCTTGGAAATGCAGATGGAGAATTTGATCTTTATGTATTGCTGCTCTAACAGCAGTGAATATATGAATGTGCAGGAGTTGTTATGTTTTTAGGCTTCAGAATAAAACTTTTGGAAGGCTTCTATATCAACCATCTATGGGAATAACTATATTGAAGTACAAACAAACAATAATAGTTAAGGTGTTACTAAGCCAAGACACTTGGATAGTTTGTCCACCATTCTGTATTGCTACACTATAACTTTATCTTTAGAAAACCTGACTTGTCAAAATCTTGTTTAACTTCGTGAGGCTTGGTTCATCTTGAAACCTTTAGTAATATCATGCTAGTTTCCAACTATTAGTGTAGTGGAATTTGGATCAGCTTTCAGTTTGTGGGTTTATTTGTTTTGTTTAACCATGAGGTATGTCAGTTTCAGTTTTCTGAATTGCCATGTGCAGTTTATCTTTCTGGTTTTGTTTTTTTTTT